TCATGAGATGCATAATAGTAATGATTTATTCATTTACTTTGTGCAATTATAAAGGCATAAGAATGATTTACGCATGAGTTCAAACCCCTAGCTTCCTGAAAGTTTAAAGGATTCAAAATAAAATGAGATTAAAATGAATGCATTTATAGTCTGCTACTGAGTGATTTTGATACCTAAAAATTGAACATGAATATCAAGATTTTAAAAACAGTTAACAAGTAAAGCTGGCATTGAAAGCTCTAAAAATGTTTCAAAATAAATCTTATTCAAATTATGATTATGACATTAATTATAATAAAATATTAATCCCAAATAATCCTCAAATGCTTCTCCTATACATTTTATCATCCTCCATTCCCTGTACCTCCCAAAGAAGGAATGGGAGGGAAAGAGGGGGAAGGAAAGTATAAGAAGTAGAGAATAACAAAAAAGAACAAAAAATAAAGACATAGAGAACAAAAATATCTATTTAAATATGTTTGGTTTTAAAATAAATATTTAAGTAAATTTAACTTATTTATGTCCACTCATATTTTATAAAAATTCTTATTGAAAAAACGAGTATCTCTTTCAAGGACAAATTATGATGTACATGAATTTAAAGTCTGAACAGTATAACTATAATTTTAAAACTGTCACACTATTAAACATCAACAGGTTGATACAACATCTGTTCTTCAATTTTTCACCCAAGTTGTTATGGTAACCAAAATATGTGGGATATGTTTCCTAAATTTAACTGATTATTTCAAGTAAATAAAATTATAGCTTATCAGCTTATTAACCACAAATAATATTATTACTACAAACCTATATTTATCCTTTTTAAATGCTAGTGGATCACAGGATTGTATTTAAATACACATTTATACATGTTTTATCTCAGAATTTACATTAAAAAATAGCAAGGATTTTTTTCTTATTTGGAAGCATTATCTCAATTTATGAACAAAACAGGAAAGGAATTATTTTATTTTCTGAACAATATACTATGCTAAAGTACTCCAAAACTATATGAAAATTGTACTGCTCTGTGGAAGATGTAAATCACATTCTTCCAAGCATCTGCTAGAACTTGTCACTCCTCCAATTCTCTGCTCAAAACTCTTTACGAGCAACCCATCTCTGAGAAGAAACCAGAGTCCTCATAGGGGCACCTTCTCTAACCCCGTTTTAAAGGGCTATTCCAGCACCCCATCCTATCTCTGCTCATACACTGCCTTTCTGCTAAAGAATGAAGTGTTTCCCCCCAAGACTCATATCTAACCCTCAGTGTGTACATATTTGGTGATAAGGCCTACAGGAAGTAGGTTAAGGTTAAATTAAATTTAGGATGAACTGATCCAACAGAATGAGTGTTCTTCTCAAAAAGAGACAACAGAGAGACCCTACCTCCCTATTTATTGTCTGTCTCCCCTTTGTATAATAAGATTTATGAAGGTGTAGATTTCTGTCTAGTTTACATGACCTAAAACACCTACAACACAGTGCATAATAGGTGATTAATAAATATTTGCTAAATATATAAAACAAATTCACATCTTAAATATATAAATACATACTATTGTAACAAATAATACATATTTGTAATGATATTCAAGGAATCCAAAAAGAAAAATTTTAAACTATCAGTAATTTAAATTAACAAAGTAAAAATTACCAAAATTTGTATTCTCATCATAGAACCACAGAATCTTGCTTTCTTGGTTCTCCTCCTATGAATCTGACCCACAATAGGCTGTCTTCTTCCGACCAATTAAATACAGAAAATAACTACTCCTGGTGCTACTCTGTTCTAGATCTTGGTCTTTATCAGTTCCTTGGTGAACTCATCCACTCTCACTGCTTCAACTGTCACCTCTTTTGAATGACACTGAAGCCATTGCCTCTGGCCTAGACATGTCTATGCAATGTCTCAACTACCTTTGAGACATGTATCACTAGCCATAACATCAGCAACATCCAAGGACAGGAGGCTAAGGTAAAATATAATATTGTACTCATCTGAGTAGGAAAAAAAATCCTAAATGAAATAGGAATTTAAAATACTGTCTTTAGTAGTGTATAGACTCACATAATTCCACACACTGCCTGAAGAATTGCTTTTTTTCATTATAAAAATTAGATCTATGATAGTAGAGAATTAAAATCTTTGAGTTACGACTTTGTATTCTAATTAACAATATACCCGTATACTAACTATCAGTTTCTTTTCAACCACTGAATTATTCCCAACATTGCAATAGAGTTTTATTGCTTTCAAATTGAATTTAATCACTTGGGGGGGAAATATAAAAAATGTATCTGAGGTTTTCAAATTAAGTTTCTGAACTAGGATAGTTTATTTTTAGAAGAAAAATACCTCCCATGTTTTTCTTCATCAGTGGCTTCAAAATAATATTAGTTTCTCCAACCATTTTTCCCACACTTAAGAATCAACTCATTACTTTAAAAAAAAATTAAAGCACATTTTTTTTAACTTCTCTGAAGATCCTCAGTAATCTGATGAAATGACAACTCAGAATTTAGGAAAGGCTTCAAATCAAAGTTGGCTAGTACATTTGTCCATTTAAATAAACCACTTTTTTTTTCAAGAATTTCACTGGATATAAATTAAAAAAATGGAATTTCCAAAAGAAATCTTAGTTTATTATGGTTTTAGAGACAGGATGCCTAAGGAACCACAGGTCCCTGGGTCTTGTAGCACTGAAGAGTCTCTTACAGTCAATGAACCTCAGTATTATCAGTAACTGATGAGACTAGGTCTACATTGCCCTTTTATGATAAATGATTACCATACATTATACCTGGTACATTTTACTGACATTTCTCAAATAACTTTTCTTTAAATTAAGAATATAAATGGAATTTGGTTAGAGTAAATAACCAAATATCATAAATAATCATGTCCCTAAAAATTCATATGTTGAAATTCCAACATGGTGCTAGAGGTTGAGGCCTTTGAGAAGTAAGTAGGTCATGAGAATGAAGCCCTCTTGAAGGGGATTAGTATCCTTATAAGATATTCCAGAGAATTCCCTTGCTTCTTCCACAGTGTGAGATTACCAATAGAAGACAGTCATGTATGAGTTGGGAAGCAGACCATAGTTTAGCTAATGTGAATTGAGCTGCTATAAACATTGATGTGGCTGTGTCCCTGTAGTATCCTGTTTTTAAGCCTTTTGGGTATAGATCGAGGAGTAGGATAGCTGGGTCAAATGGTGGTTCCATTCCCAGTTTTCCAAGGATTCTCCATACTGCTTTCCATGTTGGGTTACCAATTTGCAGTCCCACCAGCAATGTATGAGTATGCCTTTTTCCCCACGTTATCGCCAACACTTATTGTTTATATTCTTAATAGCTGCCATTATGACTGGAATGAGATGAAATCTTAGAGTAGTTTTGATTTGCATTTCTCTAATTGCTAGAGATGTTGAACATTTTTTTCATATATTAGTTGACTGATTGTATATCATCTTCTGAGAAGTATCATTTAAGTTCCTTAGCCCATTTATTGATTAATTGGGCTATTTGGGTTTTTTTTTTTTTTTGGTGTTTGTTAAGATTTTTAAGTTCTTTATATATTCTAGAAATTAGTGCTCTATCTGATATACGTGTGGTAAGAATTTGTTCCCAATTTGTAGCTCTCTATTCACCTCACTGATTTTTGCTGAGAAACAGTTTGTTTGAATCCATCCCATTTATTGATCCTTGATATTAATTCTTATGCTATAGGAGTCTTATTAAGAAAGCTGGGGCCTAATCCAACATTGGGCCTACTTTTTCTTCTAATAGATGCAATGTCTCTGGTTTAATTCCTAGGTTCTTGATCCACTTTGAGTTGAGTGTTGTGCATGATGAGAAAGTCTATACCTAGAAGACCCAAAAAATCCCATGAGAAAACTTCTAGAACTAGTAAATGAATTCAGCAAAGTAGCAGGATACAAAATCAATACCCATAACTCAAAGGCATTTCTGTATATCAGTGACAAATCCTTTGAAAGGGAAATGAGGAAAACTACCCCATTTACAATAGCCTCAAAAAAATTAAAATACTTGGGAATAAACTTAATGAAAGAGGTGAAAGACCTCTACAATGAAACTATAGAACGCTAAAGAAAGAAATTTAAAAAGATCTTAGAAGATGGAAAGATCTACCTTACTCTTAGATAGGCAAAATTAATATCGTCAAAATGACCATACTACCAAAAGCATTATACAGATTTAATGCAATTTCAATCAAAATTCCAATGATATTCCTCATAGAAATAGAAAAAGCAGTCATGAAATTCATTTGTAAAAATAAGAGACTCAGAATAGCTAAAGCAATTCTTATCAAGAAGAAGTGAAGCAGGTGGCATCACTATACCAGACCTTAAACTATACTACAGAGCAATAGTAACAAAAATAGTATAGTATTGGCACCAAAATAGACTTGTAGACCAATGGTACAGAATAGAGGATACAGACATTAACCCACATAATTACAATTATCTTATATTTGACAAAGTCACCAAAAACATACATTGGAGAAAAGATAGCCTCTTCAACAAATGATGCTGGGAAAACTGGAAATCCATATATAGCAAAATAAAATTACTGGTATTTTTAACAAAAAGCTTATATCACCAAGGAAAACTTAAATTATAACCAGGGTAGTATATATATGTATGTGTGCGCATACACACACACACACACATATATTAATTTTAAATTTTAGTTTTAAACTTTTATCAAATCAATTTAAAATTAAAAGTCGCACACTAAAGGATTGTCTTCACCACTGACAAAAGTCAACTAACAGAGCAATTTACTCCCCACGACTCTGGATATGTAGGATTATACTTTTCAGCCCAATTCCTTGAAAATTGATAATCCATAATCATATAAACAAATAGCTGACATACTAGAACTTTCTTTATCTATGCAAAAGAAATAACAGCATTACTGACAAGTGATAGAGCAAAAATAATTTCCTGCTTTGTACAGTGTTAGCTGACCTGTGGTATGAGCCTATCCAATTGTTCAGCTCGGTTTTCATGAGAAGGATGTGTAGATAACCATTCCGGTAACTTGGGATGACCTTGGAGGCTATCTGCAAACTCCATCTGCTGCCAAAACACTGAACTGGCTCTTACATCCACACAAGCCTACAACCAAAATTAATAAAAGCACACAATGAACTTAGTTATGAGGACATTTTTTTAAATGTACCTTTATGTCACTATATGTTTTTAAAACATCTTCTACCACCATTTTAATAAAAGCAGAATATGTTCATAGGCTTTAAAAATTCAAATACTATGATATTATAGAAATAAAGAGACTGCCACTGTCCCTTTTTACTCCCCGCCCAACACAACATTCACAATAATACCTAACTCCCCAAAGATAAACTACTATTCTTAGTATGATGGATAATAAGAATATGTACTAAAGGTAAAATCTCTATACAAATGAAAATTTTTATACTTATATAAAAATAAATTTTTAAATTTTTATGTTTTAACATATAAAAAGTTATTACACTACACTAAAGATATTTTACTCCTAATCTATACCACTAGAACAATTACAAGATTTCAAATAAGCATGCAGAAACAAAAAAACAGTTATATATTTTAATGTACATCAACTTATCTACTTTTCCTCAATGTAAGTGAGAAAGAATATATTTAAGCCATTCAGAATATCTTTACAAAGTATTTATAAAGGACATATATATGGATCTTATATCTTACATACATGAGCACACATACAATTCCATCATACCCTCATACCTACATACACATACTTGAATATAAACAGAATATTTCTGGAAGGCTACTTTAAAAACTGTTGTAGTGGTTCCCCTAAGAGTATAAAGGAGGTATTTGATGATAAAAAAGAAATAAAAATTTTACTTCTGAAGTATATTAAAATGTTTGTAACAAAAATTATTATTAAATCCTCCATAAGGTAACAATAAATATTTTTATAAGCCTGTTCAATTTCTTCACATTTCTTAACTTATTCTCTCTACAAGAACTGAAAAATAAGTGATTACCTATTTTCCAAATATTTTACTTTTGATTAAAACAAAGAAAAAAATATTATATTGATGAAAATGTGATTTCAAAAACTCTTAAAATAGTGTGACTGTGACACCCAAAGAGGCAAATATGGTACATCACATGCTAATAGAAGTCATCTACATTGATGCTACATCAATACTTACCAAACACCATTTCAAATGCTGGGAAAATTTAGGAAAAAATAATTTGAAATTCAAGTAAAATTTTGAAATTCAATATTTTAAAGAACAATAATGAAGACCTTCCTACTGCCCAGATATGGATAGACATGTATATGTGTGCATAAACTGGAATACATCAGATGAATACATATATCAAACATATAAATATATAACCTATGTTATATATATATATATATATGTATAGACATACATACACACATATCTATCAATGCACAAGTTGTGTGTAATTATATTATATATCATATATACACAAAAATATTTATGGCTGAATTTCAAATACCCACAGGAATATATCTTTCAATAGCAGGCCATCACAGTCATAATATAAATACAATCTGAGACAGAGACAAACAAGTCAGGTAATCTAAAATAATTCATAAAAATATACAGTGACTTGAAAGAGTTCCAATTGAAATCACATCATTTTATAAAGCACAGCTTAGCTAATAGGGTAAAAACAAAACAAAAAAAAAATGAAATACTGAAAACTATAAGATGATACTTGAATAGACTTTGCTTGGAACATCCTTCTGAAAATACTCACACTTAGAAACAAGCCTGAGATACCAGTGCACTCTGCAGAATTGAATAAATTCTGAACTAGAATGGCAAAATGGTCTCACCCCTTCGCCTCCCCCAAGTTTGCCCAATATAAGACAGATTTCCCTGGGCCCACAGGTATTACAAGGGAAAGGAGCATTGCAGTAGTTATCCAATTTCCCTAATACTCCCAGAAGCTTCCCAAGGAGCACACTCTGGCCTCAACTCACAGGGAACACTAGGGCAATGGCACAAGCTAGACTACCTAAAAGGGTAAATCTTGTGTTAAATGTTCTTACTACAAAAGAGAAAGAGACACAACAAGTGAAAACATTTTTTAAATAAATATGCTCTTCATCATAAGCTTAACTCACTTGCCTCAACAAAAATAATAGCAAACATAAGGAACTTGTGTTTATCAAACATGAAAACAAAGAAAGAATAAGATTTTCTAGACAACCTTTCCTTTTTAAAACAGAATCAGTAATGACTACATCCAATCAGAGAAACACAAGTAATGTGTTTCAGTGAAAACTAGGCTAATGAAAAGACCATTGGTTTTAGAACCAAAAACATTTGGGTTCAAAATACCAGTTATTCTTTTAAGTAATAATCAGTTATATGACACCATGTGCAAGGTACTATACTAATGATACTATAAACATTAACTCACTATATTAACTCACTTAATCCTCATATCAATCTTATGAGATAAGTACTATCATTGCCCCCATTTTAAAGAGCAGATGAGGAAACCAAGGGCCACAGATGTTAAGTAATAACTTGGTGAAGTTTGCAAAGCTAGTTAGACAGAGCCACAATTTGATCCTAAGTAATCTGGTGCCAGAGTTTGTGCCTGTGAACCAAAAATTCAGTCTCCAAGAGTCTAAGATTCATTTATAAAACTGAACTTAAAGCAGTGGATCATCAGGATAATAAAATTTGATATCTTGCAAAATATCCAGTCCATAACCCAGAATACAGTCAATACTATTTCAACTTCTCCTTCCCCCTGGTGAGCAATCAGAGGCATGTAGTAGTTAGAGGGTGCTATGTTTGATCATAAATGATGATGTCATAAATTTGTAAGTGAAGAAGGATCTAGTTTAATCTAGACTATAGTAGCAATATGCATAAATATACATTAAGGGACATATTATTGAGAAAGAATTTGCTACTATTCAGTTAGAAACTCAGTGGGATATGATATTCATAAAGAGTGAAGTAGTATAAGAACTTTTCTTATGGTATGAACACTTCTCAAATGCCAATACAATAACAGAGAAAAATATATAACAAGTCTAGACCACATTGAAGCCTACTGGTACTCTACTTGTAGACAAAATGTTCATTAAAAATAAAACTGAAAAGTGTCTGAATTTTGCTATTTCTATTTACTGGACTCTCTAACAAAACTTGCTCAGCCCTCATTCCCTGCAAGAGGTTAAATCTTGGTATTAGCTGTTCTGAATTTTGACTCTCATTAACACTTTAATCATTCTAACATCCCCCCCTGTATCCCACATAGACTTGTGGTAAACAAAATAATCATGTGAGACAACACTACAAAGGACTGTATCAGAAGGGTACTTGGATTCCTAGAGCTAGAAAAATAACCGAGATAAAATTTAAAGAGACCAAAACGGATTTTAAAAATAAACATTATTTTAGAAACAATAATGCAAAAGACTAAAATTGTTTCAATGGGTTAAAACAAGAAAGTTTCATGTCAGAAACAAACATACCTCTACTCTGGTACTTACTATCTGTGAGATCTTTGCAAGCTACTTAAGTTCTCTACCATTCAGTTGCACCTGTAAAATGATACAGGACCTATACCTTATGGGGATCCCCATAACATATGTGATGCATTCAGACAGTGTCCAGATGTGGGAAAATGTTACCTGCCATTGCTATTATAACCACTGTTAAGACCATCATGAGTGTTATCGCCACTACCATACCATTTTTGTTATCTACCAGGAAACTAGCTTGTTTTAGTCTCACACACTCACACAGCTTCATTGTTTTCCAACACCACTGATGGCGTCACTTGCTAAAACTCACTTTATTTTGTAACCCACTTCTCTAGATATTTTTCCAGAAAATAATTTAAAATTTCTCCTTTCCAGCTGAATGTGACAGAGTTTCAAGATAGCTTCATCTAAATCATTCAAAGTATTTGCTAATCCTTCTCACTAAAAAAGAAAAACCAAATTTGATTTACACCAAAATTTTGTATGTCCCAACACAAAGGAGAAGTGGGAGCATATTATTTTGAGGTTCATTTAATTTAAATTTTTTTGCCCAAGTTTTCTGCTTCTTTTGATTGCTAATGTTCCAGTTCATCAATCAGTACAATAAAGTTTTAAATAAAATTTCATGTACCTATTTTTCTCTATGTTCAGTAAAGTTTTATCATAAAATTCAATACTCAGAGTTTAAATTGTAGCAGTTAAAAAGTAAGTGAATATGCATTTCTCTGGGTGATAAAATTAGATGCAAAAAAGATATTAGGCATAATGTATGCATATAAAAGTTACTTTATAACACACCTATTAAATGAGATGTTCTAATTTACTACTTTTTCTTCTTAAATGAATAACTTTTCAAGAACCTAAGATAGTAATCCAAATAAAACACAAAGATAGTGCTCTGTAATTAAGGCTCAAAATACTGACCTGGAAAACAAGTGCCAGGGATCTTGCTACTAAGCATGTTATTAGATAAATCACTTCATCTCTTTGGTAAGTTTCCTTACCAGTAAAAAAGGAAGGTAAATTATACTAGCTCTAAATTTCCTTCCTGCTTCAAAAATCTGAGTCTATAATTTATTATTTTTACATAGTTTAGAATTTTTAATTTTCTCATTTCTGTGAGGAAAGTAGATTCAGCATGGTACCTAATTCCCTCACTAGATGGTGCTATTGGCACACTTATTTCATGTTAGTTAAACCTGCAGGCAGTGTTTCCCAAAGGGACAACATAGGCTCCAAGCACCAGACAATTTGTCCTGTGAAGACTTTAAGATATTTATCATTCCTAATCCCCATTAAACACAGTAATCTCCTCATACCTCTCTAATTACTGTTAACAATAAAAAGCAATCACATATAATGCCCTCCTAAAAGGATGCTCCCAGTTTAGATCCACTTAAAAAAAAAAAAGTTTTCTTTTCAAAACTTAAAAAAACAGATACTCAAAAATAAGAATAAATAGTTAAATTGTGAAATTTTTTTAAGAAATTAATTTCTGGTATACAACCAGAGATATGAAAAATTGTGCTCTTTATATGTAATATGAATTGTAATGCATTCTGTTGTCATATAACAAATCAAAATTTTTTAAAAATAA